GTGGCAGTCGGGTCATATGGAGAACACTGGTTGCGCGAAAAGCACGCGGGTCACGCAAGAGGCATGCGGGTCGTACAGTCGTGGAACCGTGCGGGCACTAGGATGTTGCGAGTCGCACTAGGCGTGGCTGCGCGCGGTGATGCGCGGCCGAGCGCGGTTGGGCGCGTGGGGCTGTTGTTTGTGGTCGAGGTTGATCGCCGGCGGCTTCTTGCTGATTCTGGGGATAATTGTATTTTTGCCGGAATATGAACATATAGCTCGGGATCTTCTGTTGTATGATCGATAACCTGCTCCAATTCATCATGGTGGACGACTCATCGGATCTCCCAAAGCCTCAGAAACTTTTCTCGTTTTTCTGTCATCTCAAGGTTGGCCAATCAGCCTCTCCAAAAAATAAGAGTACTACACGACTTGAAAATTTTATTTTGGAGACTAGAGGATTTGGTGTATTTATAGGCTACAATATGAACCCTAAAGAAGTGCTAAATATGAGCTAACTGTGGTTCAAACCCACTATGCTCAGGCTTCAATAATAATAATACCACTATAGTAATATTACTGAACACCCCATTTAGTACCCGAATTACAAATAATTCGTCTCTCGGCTAATTGTTCGATTTACCTCCTCATGTTTAAGATTTAACGTCCATTGATTCATTTAATCACTAACAATAACATTAATCAACTTCTTAAATCTGAAACTAGTACCACACAATTTTTATTATTATGCCGAAAATTAATCTATCGGCCGAGCTTGACATAATAATCCTTCTTTAGCTCGTTTTCAGGGATGTCATCAACTTTATGGACCGGGACATGGTGACCGTAAACAATTTCTATGGCACATCATACACTGACATTATTTACCAAAGTATCGTGTTTGTCGACCTGCCAGAATAGGTCTCACCCATGATAAATCAAATAAATAAGTACCGAATGCATATGTCCATTTTTTATTGTCTTACAGGTTAAGAGAACGTAACAATTACTGAGGTCTAGATTATTAATTAGCCAATATAAAATAATCTTATTCTTTGCAGATCCGTCCAATTCGTCCGAGGTGTACTAGTGTAATTTATTAATCAAAGACCAACTAATTCAAAATCACACTACAGCCTTTCGCGGCACTTAGTTCAATTGTGTATGGGCTGTGAACAAATATTTATATCTTACAAGACACCGATAATATGATCATTTATGTTCAACACATCGAACCATATTATATACAATGTAAAAAATAAACTATATTCGTATAAATAAATAAACTACGAACATTTACTTGACTAGAAAGTAAAAACACAAATCTCATTTACTCATCACCCCAATTTTCTCTTTCTTTCATAAACAAAAAAAAACAAAATGCTTTTGTTAAATCAGTTGGGAAGAAGTTAGGTTTTGATGGTAGGATGTTTATAGTAGATCCAATAGGTCTGAAGGGAGGGCTAGTTTTGTTTTGGAATTCTCATATCACTATCAAGCAAATTCAGTGTAAAAATTACTATATTGCTGTTGAATTTTCTTTACTTTCTTCATCTCCCCAATGGGGAGTTTTTGTATATATGAGCCCCTGCAGGATAGAAAGAGAAGCTCAATGGGCTGACCTGCTCATTGACAAGCAGAATTGGGGACAATCCTGGTTCACTATTGGTGATTGGAATGACTTGCTGCACCATTCTGAAAAGCTTGGAGGGATCACTAGAACTATGTCCAGCACTCAAGGATTCTGTTCTTTCTTAAATGACATGGAGCTGTCAGAACTCAAATTTGAAGGATACTCATTCACATGGTGCAACCACAGAGCAAATCCTGACTTAGTGGAAGAAAAGCTGGACAGAGCTTTTGGCTCCCTAGACTGGTTTCAGCTATATCCCAATGCCACTGTCTACAATGTCCTAAGAAGTTCCTCTGACCATACAGCTCTCTTGCTCGATCTGGGTCCCACTAAGATGAAAAAAAAATCCCCCTTCCATTTTGACAAGAGGTGGATTGGAAGAGAAGGGTTTGAGGAAATGATCACTAAAGCATGGCTCACTCCAGTGACTGGTACCCCTTTCTTTCAGCTTAAGGAAAAAGTAAAAAACACCAGAATAGCTCTTCTCATCTGGAGTTCATCCTTCAAATCTCAGAATCAGAAAACAATAATAGAGCTCACTCAAAAGCTGGAATCCCTAAATGTTTGCAAAGGCACCACAGATTGGGAGGAATGGGACACCACCAGAAGGAAGTTAAATAAGGCCCATTCTCAAGAGGAATTATATTAGCAGCAAAAAGCCAAGCACCAATGGCTTAAAGAGAGAGATGCAAATACCCGGTTCTTCCATGCATACACAGCCCAAAGGAGGAAGCTTAATGCAATTTCTAGGCTGATATCACCACAGGGCAGGGTATACTCCTCTCAGTCTGAGCTGGAAACCTACATTACTGAATTCTACACAAATTTATTCTCATCTGAGGGAAGTTGGGGAGGAGACTCATTACTTTCTCTAATACCTTCATCAATTACTCCTGATATGAACCAAGCCCTCCTTAAGCAAGTTGAAGAGGATGAAGTTAGAATTGCCTTGTTCAGTCTTCAGCCTGACAAATCCCCTGGAGAGGATGGGATGACAGCAGCCTTTTATCAACACTTTTGGAGTCTCATCAAACCTGACATTATGAAAGCAGTTCTCAGTTTCTTTCAATCGGGTATGATTCTCAAATACTGGAATCACACTGTGGTGTCTCTGATCCCTAAATGTGACAATCTTGAAGCTCTGAGTCAATTTAGGCCAATCAGCCTTTGTAGTGTCATCTATAAAACAATTTCTAAGCTGTTGGCTTCCAGACTTAAGGCTTGTTTATCATCTTGCATTAGTGACTACCAAGCTGCTTTTATTGAGGGTAGACAACTGACTGATAATGTCATCATTGCACAAGAGGCTTTCCACTTTTTGAACAGGCACTCCACTGGTCCTAATTGCTTCATGGCCCTGAAATTAGACTTAATTAAAGCTTTTGATCGTGTGGAATGGCTTTGCCTGAAAAAGATAATGATCAAAATGGGTTTTCACTGTGATTTTATTAAGCTGTTGATGATTTGTGTTTCTACTGCCTCCTTCTCTTTCAAAGTTAATGGCTCAATTAATGGTTATGTGACTCCATCCAGAGGCATTAGGCAGGGGGATCCTCTATCCCCCTACCTTTTCATCATTGTTGCTGAATTACTCACTGCTCTTGTCCTCAATGCTATCTCTACTGGACAATTACATGGGATGAGACTGTCTAGAAATGGACCACTGCTATCACATCTCCTCTTTGCAGATGATTCACTTTTCTTCTGCAGAGCTGGTTCAGATCAGGCTACCACACTCATGACCATTTTGGAGCAGTATAAACTTTTCACTGGTCAGGCTGTTAATCTTCAAAAGTCAGGTATCTTTTTCAGCCGCAATACACCTCAACAACTTCAGACATCCATCTGTAGAACTCTGAATGGTATAGTGGCTCACAGATCAACCAAATACCTGGGCCTCCCACTTGGTATAGGCAGATCTAAAAAAAAAGTTTTTGAGTACATTCTGACTTCAGTGAGAAAAAGACTAGCTTATTGGCAGGCAAAAATGCTCAGTACTGCAGGCAAGGAAGTGCTAATTAAAGCTGTCATACAAGCACTTCATGTTTTCTCAATGTCCTGCTTCACCTTGCCTATCTCTCTTTGCTCTGAAATCTCAAGACTCTGTGCTCAGTTTTGGTGGAAATTTGGGATGGACCATCTCAAGGCATACACTGGAAAAAATGGAGCTTCTTATCCTTTCCCAAGGACAAAGGTGGACTAGGCTTCCATGACTTACAACTTTTTAATCAAGCCTTAATCTGCAAACAATTATGGACGATAGCCACTAATCCAGACCTCCTTGTCAGCAAGCTCCTCAAAGACAGGTACTTCCCTCACTCTTCACTTGTTCATGCTACCAAGACTCAAAGTGGATCATGGATGTGGAACTGTTGGATAAATATAATGCCTTTCTTTGCTAAATGGCTAAAAGTAGAAATCAGAAGTGGGGCAGACACAAGAATCACAGATTTCAACTGGGTCCCTAACCTCAGCTCACCATCTCCAACACTGATTCCTATAGCTAGAGACCACCTGATCTGGGTTAGTGATCTCCTGCAACCAAATGGCTCACAATGGAATGACTGGTTGATCCACCAGGTTTTCAGTGATGAAGACAGTCAGGCAATTCTCAACATAGCAACTCTGAACCCTAGCAGAAAAGACAGACTCTTGTGGGGACTTGATCAAAAAGGTCTTTTTTTTGTCTCCAAGACCTATGCTTTCCTCAGTTATCAAAAGGTGTTGACCTCAGACATCCCTGAATGTAGCTCTTCATCTGCAGCTAAACAATCAATCAAGTTCAGACACTGGAAATTGAATGTAGCTGGAAAAATCAAACATTTCATCTGGAAATGTTGGTCAGGTACTCTCCCTGTTGCTGTTCACTTAAAGAAGAGGGGAATTGATATTGATACCACTTGTTCCATTTGTGGTGAGACTGTGGAAACTTTGGAGCACCTTTTGTTTGATTGCCAAAGAGCTGTCAGTTTTTGGAACCTTAGTCCTGTTCACTGGGATGGTTTGGCAGGTTTCAAAGACTCATTTAAAGCTTGGTGGTATGAGGTGTGCTCCCTTGACCATTCAGAGGTTGCCGAAGCAAGAATCCAGCTCACAACTTACATGCTTTGGTGGCTTTGGAGGTCAAGAAACTTGTGGATTTTTCAAAAGTCCTTCATTCCAGAACACATGCTTATCGAAATGGCTCAAGCTGACTGGTTGGATTTTTCTGCTTCAGTTTAATGTGTCTGTTGGTTGTGGGTTGTAATCTGTTGGTTGTGATTTTTTTTTTTGTTTGGATTAACTTCCTTACTAGGTCTTGAGGCAGTGGTGGGAAGCTAATTCTTTTGGTTTGCTTGTTTGCTTCGGTTTTTTGTGCTGTCAGTGTGGTTATNCCGAGCTTGTGCAGTATACTCCGACACGATCTCCTCTACGGACCAAACAAAAGATCTAATAGAATGAAAAAAAGGGTAATACAAAAATCAACTCAGCAAAACATAATGTCCCCCATCACCCGCATAATGGGAGAGATTGCTCCGGCTTCGTCACGGCAATCGCCGATGGAACTTCCTCTACAGTTAATCAAATCAGGTACGATTCCACCTGCCCCCACCCGATCTGGACACGGTTCACAAGCCAACGCCGACTTTTTACTGGACTTCGCCCGACACTCATGGATCGCTTACGGCACCGGCTCTCTTGTAGTCATCTCTCACTTTCAAGACCCTCTAATGGAAGCGGAAGCAAAAGTAGGTCCGATTTATCGACAAGTGATCGAGCTATCTCGAGAGGTCGATGTTTATACCTCCGCCATCTCTTGGTCCCCCGTCATTCCTTCCGTCGGTGAGCTGGCCGTGGCATTGGGCGATCGTATTGTGTTGTTGACGTCTAATGAAGATGAATCTACCATCAGTAAGTTTTCACTCGTTGGAGGTTTAAGTTGTATTATTATATGAATCTACAAGGCTTGTTAACTTTGATTAGTAGTGAGTTGAATTTATCGAGACGCTAATGTCGGGTGACCCAAATTACTTAAAGATTTTTTTTTTTTTTCCCATTTCTAGGTTCTTGTTGTAATTTATGAAGGAGCTGACGAAAAGTGAATTTCTTTATGTCTAGATGTCTGTTCTACTAAGCACATACAAAACAAATAAATGAACATATGAAACTTAAAAATATCCTTATTGAAAATTTCACATTTTTGTAGTATTTCATCCTCCTCATCGTGGATGGTGCATTGATCACTTTCTTTTTAAACTTTATTTTTAAATTTCGGGAGGGAGCAAGGAGAGGTAGCAAACCATGAAGGTTGACTAGTGAGAGCAAGAAAATTTCAGTTTTAATCTCTTAACCTTGTTATGGTTGCTCTATTTCGGATGAATAGTTTTTGTAGTAATACATTGATCCAAGAGCTATGATTAAAATGTCCTATTGGTTTTGTTTTCTTCCTTCAATATAAATTTTACTATCGAAAGAGCAGCACTTGCTGTTCATGATTTCGATAAGATAAACAAATGCTTGGCGACTTTGAAATCCTAATATATGGAAACTGCTATCATGGGTCAGTACAAGACATTTATGAGCATTTCCCCTCAAAGTTTAACACCCCCCTCCCCCCACCCCATGCACAAACCTCTCACATGATATGTCATAAAACAACAATTATCTATTATGTATTGATTACAGATAATTATATATATCACAAATCTATGTCAAATAAGAAACCTACGTGATTATCTTACTCACCCATTACGGGCACTTCCATCGGTTGAGGCAAGCTTCAAGTTTAGTGTCTCCCTGTTGATGTGTCTGTCATTCTCGTCTCTCTTCAAGTCAAATATGAACTTATTTACTGAGATTCAGGTTCTTTTTGTTGGAGCCAGACTGCAATACTGGCACAATCCATGAAGGTGGAGGCTATCCAATGGACAGGTTCAGGAGATGGAATAATTTCAGGTGGCATTGAGGTGGTGATGTGGAGGAGAAAGGAGAAAATATGGGAAATAGCCTGGTCATTCAAACCAGAAGTTCCTCAAACGGTTATTTCTACCACATGGTCGGCCGATGGATTTTCAGCCACAGCTCCATCAAGTAAAGTGCCATTTGAAGGTTTGTCTTCTCCACAAAATGATTCGAGGCAATGTGTTTTAATTTTTGAAGGTGATGATCATTCTAAGTATCCACAAGCTGAGCTGCATCATCCAATGCCTGTTAGGATGATTCAATGGAGGCCAATGGCTGGGAAACCATCACAAAGACATGTTAGGCATGCACTCAGACCGGTGATCTTAACATGCTGCCTTGATGGAGCTGTTAGGTTGTGGGGTGAAATTGATGATGGTAGGATTAGAAAATCTGGAAGGGATAGCAGCGACCAAAAAGCCGCAAAGTTATCTTTTTGTGTCATTGCGGTGATAGAGATAAACAGAAACCTAAACAGTTTTCCAGGATCTGATGTTTTTGTAAGTTGGGCAACAGAGGCTGAAGGCGTGGCTGTTACTGATGAAGAAGTTCGCTATTTTTCATGCTTAGATGATCTTCAACATGAGACTGCTAGTAGGTGTGCGTGGTTAGTTGGATTTGGTCCTGATAGAGCTACAGCCTTGTGGACTGTTCATTGTCTTGATGATTTTGCCCCACTTAGATTCCCAAGGGTTAATTTACTGAAGAAGTGGGATTCAGTCAGTTCTGAAGTGGAAGCTAGTGAATTGTCTGTTCTTAAAGTTTTGATGATGAGGAGTACAGTTTTTGGCCCACCAGTTGTTTGCTCTTTGGTTCAATTGTTACCTTGTATTACTTTTGTTTGGATTCAGTTATATCCTCAACCATCAACTAGCACAGAAGTGGAATCTACTAATGACAGTCATACTGAAAAGCCTTCCGTGGCCTGTGCAAAAGAAATCCTAAAAGTTGATGGCCACTCTGGAAAAATTTTACAACTGACAATTCATCCCTTTTCTATTGAAGTTGAACTTGCTGCTTCTTTAGATGAGAATGGATTGCTTCTCTTTTGGTCATCCCCTATTTATTTTAATAGTCATATAGGCCTGCCAACATCAACTCCCTCTTGGAAAATTTGTGGAAGAACTTCTTTCGCTGATCACTATCCAAATTACGTGTGCTTGAGTTGGGCTCCTGGAGTTCTCAGTGAGGACCTTGTTCTTCTCATGGGACACGCGGATGGTATTGATTGCTTTATTGTGACACTGAAAAGTAATGAAGGAATAGTTGGTTTTCACAAATTATTTTCTCTTCCCTTCAGGACTGGACATTGTGGAGGAGGGCTAAGTAGACTTTGCTCGATTGCTCTTCCTTCTTATTGTAATGGGTGCTTTGTCTTTAGTAGATTTCTTTTGGTAGCATTATGGATGGATGGTTTTCAGGCTTTATCATGGGAAATAACTATCCATTGTCGTGATTCACAAGGTATCTGTCAGAAAGAGCATTTGGAAACATTTGTAAGCTCTTTTTCTGGTAAGAGTTACTCTATATCAGTTGATCCTTGTTCATCCCTCATTCCCATTCCTCATGATGATGACAAGGTTACAAGTTATGATGTGGTCTGCCCCAATTTTTTGGTTTCATCCGTAGAGCAGAAGTTGAGTTTTGCTGATGGAATAGGAGAATGCTGCTATGGATATCATATGATAACTGGTTGTGTTGATGGAAGTTTAAAACTGTGGAGGAGCATGCCAGCACAATCCTTGAGCTCAGCTGCGTACTGGAGCCTTGTTGGTGTGCTTTCGACCAACCAAGCCCCTATCCTGGCAGTAGGAGCTACTGCTTGTGGTCAAAAGGTTGCAACAGCCTCCAAAACCAATCACCAAAATAATTCTTGTGCAATTCTCATATGGGAAGGCATGCATATCCAGAGCTCAAGCTGCTTTATGCTAGAAGATGAACTATATGTTGAGGGAGAAATTGTTGCTTTAAATTGGTTGAGGCTGGGAAATGGTCATTTGTTACTTGGGGTTTGTTTAAGAAATGAATTGCGAGTATATGTACTGAGATGTCATGGAGGTCAAGATATTTTGAAATGCGAAAAGCCTTTAGAAGGACATGCTTGGGTTTGCATTGCAGTTACTAGTGCTTTGCCAGTTATTTCCGACTTCCTTTGGGGCCCTAAGGGTACCCTCATGGTTATTCACAACACGTATTTTAGCCTCTTCAGTCACTTTTTATTATCTTCTGAGCATGGATGTTCCAAAAGTCATGTTCGTCTGTCAAATGTTATCCATTATAGCAAACACCCAGTAGAGGTCATTGGTGGGGAATATCAGTCACAGCTCCCCGGAAAGATTAGTACTAAAGATGATTCAAAGTCAATAGCAAATTCTGAAAGATGTCAATGGATTCACAGTTCATGTACTGGAATTTATTTTTGTAGCATGTCAGAAATAGCAGAATACATTGGAGGATCTCTTCCTTTGTTCCACCCCGAGGCACTCTTGATCAACTTATCATCAGGTACTGATGGTTGAGAATTGTGGTGTTTTAATCAAATTTGATATTATTACAGATCATTTCATTCTTTGATTTATCAAATCTGTATCTATGTATTTAGGTAGCTGGAAACGTGCATTAATTGCTTTGCGTCATCTTGCTAAAAACCTTTCTTCTATCAAGTTGTCTGAACAAAGACATGGAGCCAGAACTTCTAGCAACATAATTTCTCCAATTCCCTTGTCAAATTATATGGAAGGCCTCCTCTCACCTATTTCGAGTGAGAAATTATTTCAGTGGAGTGGTCCACTATTTGAATCAGGGTTCTCACATTTTGGTTCTGTTGGTGGTCATGATTCTCCAAGTAGTGCCCCAATTTCGTCTTCGTCAAAATCTGAATTTTATGACTTTGTAGAAGCTTTTGAGAGCTTATATGGTAATGCACAGATAACTGAAGTTGAGAAGATGCAGGCTTTAGCCCTAATTGATCTTCTACAAGAAGTTGCTAACCCTCATCGTGCTTCTGCTTATGGGAGTCTAGATGAACCTGGTAAAAGGTACGTTTGAGTTGTGTCAGTTTGTTTATGAATTTTGATCGTTCCTCGCACTTTGGCACTATTTTAATTTAGTACTCAATGGTGCCTTTTCAGAAATAGTATTTGGAGTTCTGCTGATGATTGTATAACGAATGGAAAGCAAACTTACAAATGGGCAAAAATGTGGGGACTTGTGAAAGTGTCCAAGCCATAAATTTGAAGAATCCATTTGTTAAGAAATCTTTAGGAAATAACTTTCAAAGTCTGTTGGGGACTTCTATCTTTTAGTTAATTGCATCACAGTAACTTCAGTATTTATGTGACCAGTCTTTGCTACTCTTATTCTGAATTTAATTCACCATCATCAATCACATCTGATAGAGCTTGACAACTTGTTCTGTTTTTGCCCCCCTCCCCAAACAACACACCACCTCCACCAATTGAGTGTTCCCTCTTTTTTTCCTCATTTGTGGACAATATGTATAATTCTATAACTAACAAACATTTTCTTGAAGATTTTGGGTTGCAATTAGGTTTCAACAACTACATTTTGCCAAAAGGTTCAGTAGGCTGCCACAGGTGGAAGAGCTGGTTGCTTCATCAGGGCTGATTGGGTGGGCTTATCATTCAGATTGTCATGACAATTTGTTTAATTCCTTACTTTCAGCGGAGCCATCTTGGGAAGAAATGCGAAGTATGGGTGTTGGGTTCTGGTATACTAATGTAGTGCAGATTCGGGTTAAGGTACCATGCAATAAAATTGCTTACAAACAGATTGACACTCTCAGTTTTGCTTGTGGGTTGACATAAGTAGCATAAAAACTATTGAATGTGGCTGTCTTCGTGCTGCCAAGCTATTTCTTACTATGTGTATAATGCTATGGGAGGCCGTGGTCAGATTTAAATCTAATTGACTAAACAATATTTTCAGTGGTATTTCGCACTGTATTAAAAACCGGCCAGGCAGCTAGGCGGGCTTGGCGGCAATTTTTCAGTTATTTATTTTTTAAATACTAATTTACATTTTTTGTTATCATGTTTTTTTAATAATATATTAATATTGTTATTTGGACTTAGGCGTGTGGATTTTTTATAAAGTTGAGATAGTTTTATTTTGTAGGTAGTGAAAATAAATAAAAAATGAGGTCTTTAATCTTAATAATTTATAGGCGCTAGGCGCTGGTCGAGCGCCTTGTGGGCACCTAGCGACTTCTAGAACACTGGTATTTCGTCTTGTAATCAGCTAACTGCTGTAGGTTTTACCTTTTGCCTTCCCCTGATAAAAGTTAGCCTTGTATAGTATATTTTGTGCATATATAAATTAAATATAAGGATTATTTATTATTGAGTTGGTTGTAGCTCTTTGATTTTGTCTCTTTTTGCTAGCCACTTGACTTATAGTTTGGTCTCTTTTCCAATAATAGTTCTGCTCCTTAGTTGTTCGAATGAGTTCGTCAATTTTACTTCTTGAACACCCAATTTCAAAATGAATACTATGGAAGTAGTCAGCAGATTAAGCCAATATGGAGTTTGCGAAGAACACCAACCCAAAATTTTGAAGAGGATTTATTTGATTTGGAAGTTAATTAAAGCTTGGATATGATATTGATTGCCAACTGGGGCAGTCAGGTTGGCAGCTGTGTCATTGGCCTGATTTTCTTTTTCTTGTTGGCTGTTGCACACATACATCAATTAGAGAGTACAATTATCCCTTATTTAGACCTATGTGCGAGTCACATATTTATGATCGTTCTTGCAATTTCCAATGTTCAACTGATTGAGATGTTATATGACGTTTTTATTACTAAAGGATTTAAGTATAAATTACTCATAGTACATATTTCTTTAAATAGAGAGATACATGCATGCATGTTTGTGTCTTTATGTTCCTGTTTTCAATTATTTAGTGAGAAGATACTTTTGGTCATATGTTGTTCTGCAGATGGAACGGCTGGCTAGACAGAGGTACATGAAGAACAAAGATCCGAAGGCCTGTACGCTTCTTTACATTGCATTGAACAGGCATCAAGTTTTGGCAAGCCTATTCAAAATAAGCAAAGATGAAAAAGATAAACCATTAGCAGGATTCCTCACTAGAAATTTTCAGGTACTTGTTTATCACGTAATATCCCCTTTTCCTTGAAAAATCGCTCGAACCTATTTGCTTGTTCAATTTGGTATTGCTCAGTCTAGTCAAGTGGTGAGATAAATATTATGAAAACTAAAACCAGAGCTGCATCTTGTTTGGTTGCCGGAAAGGACAATTGGAGCACGTAGGTAATCACTGTGTTGGTTCCTGTAAGAGGAGTTAATTATCCTTTCACATGCTTCTCTCATTTTGACTCACCTTTATTGTTACAAATATTTTTTCATTTGGCGTTTCATCTAACAACCAAAAAGGCAATAAAGCTTCTTTCTGCATTTCCACTTCATTTGCTCACTGGAATCATTGTAGCAAACTATCGTTCATTTATATATGGCTAAATTAATTAGACACCATCTCAAGGGATCTTATCATGATTGTCCAAATATCATGGTATTGCAAGATTTCATTGCTCCATGGAAAGTTCTTCCTTGAATATCCAGCTGAACCCTGTCTTTTTTTTTTACCTGAAAATATGGTATGACTCCAGCTTCCAAATATCGCTATTGAATAACTCGTTTATGTCCTGCTTTATTGTGTCTTTCATCCAAACAAATTTGATTAACTGCCTCTTTATAGGAGGATAAAAACAAGGCAGCAGCTCTAAAAAATGCTTATGTGTTAATGGGGAAACATCAGCTGGAGCTTGCAATCGCCTTCTTTTTGCTTGGAGGAGATGCATCTTCAGCTGTTACAGTGTGTGCTAAAAACCTTGGAGATGAGCAGCTTGCCCTTGTAATTTGTCGTCTCATAGAGGGGTGTGGTGGCCCTCTAGAGCGTGATCTTATTTCAAAGTTTCTCCTTCCATCTTCTCTATCAAGAGGTGACTTTTGGATGGCGAGTTTGCTACAAGTAAGGAGTTTGATAGTTTTCTCAATATGAAATCCTATTTCATCTTTCATGTTCTCCAATTATTTTCCTTTATGTTGGTATGTGAACTACTCCTTTCTATGTTTCTGGTGCAGTGGCTGTTGGGAAATTATTCACAATCTTTCATGACTATGGTTGGCGTTGAAATGAGCTCTGAGGTTAATATTTCTGTCATTTCGTTTTCTCACTCTTCATTTCTGGATCCAAGCATTGGTCAATATTGCCTAATGTTGGCTACAAAGACTAGCATGAAAAATGCTGTTGGGGAGTTTAATGCTGCAGTTCTACGTCGGTGGGCAGCGTTAATGAATGTTACTTCTCTTAGAAGATGTGGACTTCCTGTAAGTTGTCTTATATTGTCCAATCTGTTTGAATCTTGGATAACCTTGTTTTCTATTCAAGTAAAGGTTCATACATTTTGTTTGAAATCCTAATCTAAATGCTCCGATATTTGGGCCTACACTATAATGCTATAGGAGAAACTATATGTATTCCTTAGTATGTAAAGTAGCTGATGTTTAAGTTTCCATTTCTCTCGACAGCTTGAGGCATTGGAGTGCATAGCATTGTCCAATGATCTCTCTAGTGGTCCTACAAATGGGAGTGTGATGTCTAGCTCAACCTGCAGTCTTCGTGTTGAAATGGTGGAACAATCTGTAAAGAAATGTTCCACAAACTGGATATCAGATGAGATCTCCTGCCATATTGTATCGCATAGTAAGTTACAGATGGCCATGCAGTATATATGGAACCTGTTAAAACAACATCCAAGCTGTGTAGGCAACGATAGCTCATGTTTTGGGGGGTGTTTAAACTATGAGGCTGACAGTCAAGAATTCGAGAAATTACTCAACGAATTCTGTTGCAAATTGGCTGCAGCTATTTCATATTTCAAGCAGAAATTCTTGTTGGTTCCTCGCCATTTAATTAGCATGGTAATATAGGTTACGGTAGTAGTTTGGTATGTCCTTGTTCTTCTGCGTAGGTTTATCTAATCCGTTTGCTATCCGTGCAGATTGTATTATCATTACACCAGAATGGTTTAGAGTTTATTGGAAAATATGTGTTGCGAGATTACATTCAGGAATTTCAATCTGAAGACGGGGGCAATAAACCCGATAATCTGTTCTTTTGTCCGTCAAATCTCCTGTTGAAATCTACTGAAGAAATCTCCTACTTGTATTTGAATTATGTTGTCTCTTGCGAAAAGTTATGGCACACGAATCATTTGACCAGGAATGGTCTCACTGGTGAAGGCAGGTTTTGTTGGCTTGCTGCTTGGGGTTTCTCCAATCAGGGGATAGCACGGGCATTTTGGTGTTTTAGAGCCATGCTGCAGTTGTCTCTCAGATCCTACTCTAGCGAATCTTTGAAGTTACTTTTTAGAATTCTACTTTTATTTGAGTACCACGTAATTTTTGCTTCGGCTTGGCTGCAGAAGAATTTCAAAGCAGTTATTATTTCTGTTAGACCCGTGTTGCTTACATTAATGAGAGGTAGTAGCACCTTTGAGATCAAGACGGAGGATCTGGATAAACTTATTGCCGAGATTGAGAAGATACTTGCTCATGAGTTACAGTCTGTCGATTCAGTTAGACATGTCATAATCAATGGTCAGAAACAAGAACAAAGCGAAACATTTCCAGATGACAGGATATGGCTTGTCAGTGGTTCTTTGTGGATGCAAATGTCTAAATTTTTGGAACATCAACTCAATATATTGTCTGAACTAAATAAAAGTTACTCTTCTTCATCTTTTCCTTTATTGGAACTCAAAGACAGTAATGTACAGCATGAAATTGGATTGATTTCAAGCATGTCAGTTGAGCTTATGAAGCTGGCATGTGCAGAGATCTCCCGTAATTGTTCAAAGCAGTTTGCAACCTACCTGCTTCAGGAAGTAAATCCATTTAAGATATCCAGCCTTTTTGACTTGGAAGGTGGTCTGCCGCAACAAGGAGCTCAAGATATTAATAAGATTGAATGTATGAAGTTTGAAAATGGCGACCAATTGTTCGATTTTGAACAGCTGTGGCATGTTTGTACTGATTTAAGAATAATTAATGGTGCTTTTCTGAAAGAATACCATAAGTGGCTACTGCATTATAAACAGAAGTCTTCTAGTGGATGGATTGATACATATGTAGGCATTACAAGAGAGTTTGAATGTGAGGAAACTTGGGATAAAGAAGATAGATTGGGTAGTCCAAGTCATACAAGTGGATCACCTTTAGCTTGTCTAACTCCAAATGATCATCCCTTCAAAGGTCATGGGGTTAATGATTCAAGTGAATCAAAAAGGTTTATCCCTTTTCAAAATCCTAAAGAAATATACAAGAGAAATGGGGAACTTCTGGAGGTATATTTTCTATTGTATTGTTACTAAACTAAATTTGAGGATTGTAATCATTTGGGTTTTCATCATGTATAATAATTTTTGTGCAGGCTTTGTGCGTAAATTCCATTGATCAATGCCAAGCTGCACTTGCTAGCAATAAGAAGGTCAGTTTCTGCTTGTTAATCTGCTCATATCTTGTGTTGTCTATGACTTTTCTGTTATGAGAACCGTTATTTTGTTCTCATATACATTTATCTACTGGATGTTTTTTTTTTTTTTTTAANTTTTTTTTTTTTTTTTAAACTTCTTTCGTGTAGATGTAAAACCAAGTTTATGTGTCATATAGTTTATTAGCTGAGCAGGAGCTGACCAAGATTGGTGGTAAAGGTGTCTGGTTGATTGGGAAGATTAGAAGAATCTGATTGCGTCCCGCTAGCTGGGTTCAATATTGATGCATTGTTATTTAATGAAGTTTTCTACTATTCTATTTAACTACTTGAGGGCTTCATGAATCACTAGTTACCTATAGAATTTTATTCTGTTTTTTCATTGTGAATGTGATACATGATCTAGTTTTGGTGTATGCTACTGTTTTCCAATTCAGGGGCTAATATTTTTCAACTGGGATGATGGACCTAATCGAGATGAATCTAAATACATATGGGGAGAAGCTGACTGGCCCCGCAATGAGTGGCTAGATTTTTATTCTACCTCAGTACCTACATATGTTTCTCCTGGCATGGACCTAAGGGATAAGAATTGTACAAACATTGGCTTTTCTGGAGCCTCATCATGTGAAGGTGCTTTGGCTGGACCTGGTTATGCTGGAGTGGGATCATCCAGTCTTAGATGGGGGATTCAAGAAAGTTCTGATGAGTTTTTTGATCCACCTGCTACAGTGAATAATGTGAGGACAAGGGCATTCGCTTCTCATCCATCTAGGCCTTTCTTCTTGGTTGGTTCCAGCAACACACATACATACCTATGGGAGGTATTCCTTGCACTCCAATTCATTAGGATTATGTCTATCTCCACATCTTTTTTCCCCCCTTTTGTCTCTTTCCCTTGAATTATGTCATGGTTCCTTGCTTAAGCTAGAGCTTTGTTCATTATGAAGCTGTTCACTGTTCATCCAAATAACATGAATTGCACAAGGACAACCCAGTTGTCATCTTAATCTTAATTTGCTGTGGGGCAATTTCGTCACTTTTCAAAGACTCAATCCGTTCCATTGAATCTGTTGAAATTTTGCTATCTTAACCTATATCTCCTGGATTTAATCTACTCTTATTTTACATGTTTTTGTGACTTCTTTTTCCTAGACTAGTAAGGTGCATGTGCTCCGCACATGGACCATATAATTTTCTAATTAAATTTAGAATAAGCCACAGTTTGATTTGATAAAAATATAATTGACGATATGCAATTTGAGCTGTAGATGTATATATTTTGTGTGAGTATGCTAAGTGAAACACTATGAGGATATTACACACATAAATGCTATGAGAAAAAAAAATTGCCATGAAGCTTAAAAAATATTCCTTTTGGAAGTTTGAAGGCGTTCATTGTAATGGTACTGACCAAATGTTTCAAGTAAATCTCGATGAAGGCACATATATAAATAAAGAATAATGCTTATGTGAAAGAGTTTTGTTTACACCGACACATTATCGAACAATTATGAAGCGTCAAATTTTCATTTGGGAATCAAATGGCTTGTAACTTAGTGTGTACCAAATAACAATTAGCTTACTAGTTGATATAGAAATGAATTGACGACATATTCTTCCAATTCAAACTAAGTCTTCTAAAGTGAACTCTACATTACATATTGGTCCATGTATCTTTTATAAGAAATAAGAAATTTGTGTATGAGTTGAAGTTGTTGTGGACATTCTTGCTATGTAATGTATAGAATTTCATTGTTAGTACTTGAATGTCTCTCTTTCCATGATTAATTTTATTTTATTTAGAGAGTCTACATTTCTACATAAATTTAAACTCATTGACATTTTGGTTAGTTATCAACTGCTGTCTTTGAGGCTTTGAGCACGTCACTTTCTCATATAATATTGACAACATCCGTTCATGAATAATTTGTAGTTGCATGTGATTTTTTCTCAAGTTTTGATTCATGGTCTTCGGGGTGAATGCTTACAGTTTCAATTACGCTATTAATATAATAGATGAGTTTTTCACCAACTACTTGTAGTTTTTGTCAAGGGTGGCCTGAATTTTTAACTACCTATTGTTTGTGAGCAGCGTTCCTCAATATTTCATAAACATTATTAATTAATTGTACTTTTTGTTGTTACAATATTAATAGAAGCACTTCAAAAACGTTAGGGAATAAAGTAGCATTGACTAATTAAGAAGCAAATTTTACAACTTACCGGGATTTTCTTGTGAGCAAAGCATGGGGAAATAATTGCTTTGTTTCATTATATTTCGTATCTCTTCTTCATGAAAATCCTTAATGAACTAAGGATAATAATGCTTGTCTCGATATATTTGATATCTCTTCTTCTCCAATGAAATTCTATTTGAAAAATAAAATTACAGTTTGCTTCGATTGGGAATTTGTGGCAGGCTTTTTCCTTCTTTTATGATTTAGACCTTTAGCACTCCTTTGTTTCTGTTAATTATTCATACTCATTAAATTATTAGGTGGTCATGTCTCCTAGTCTTCTTCAGCTGTTAATGACTATTTTGCCATTGGGATACTAATATACAAATGTGATATTTAAGGTCATTTTGGGCAATCTAAAAAGTTTACAGAAATATTCATGCTTCTGGAGTAGTCGAGATAGAGATAGAGAGAGAGATTATGAAGATAACTAATCGGTCCTTCCGCCAAAATCCTTTTCTCATCCTTTAAAGCCCTACAAACTGAGTCGTGAACTTTTGTTAGCAATGCGATGTTACTATTTTGACTGTTAGTAAGGAATGGTTCCATGGGAAGTCTCCATTTTCCTTATCCTTTGTATAAACTACTGCTTTTCAAGACCACTCTAATGACGAAGGCAACAAAATGGAATGCATGAAATATTAAAAGATAGACATATGTTTGCATATGCACTTGCTTCATTTGGCTCAATTGCCACCTGGAGATGCTGTTATCACAAGTCAACAGAAGTTTTAACAGAAAATATGTTAACTGACAGTTTGGCAAGGACACAGCTAGTGCTACGTACGGTGTACTTCCGGCGTCAAATGTTCCTTCGCCATATGTTGTTCCCTCTGTGTCTGCAGTGCAATTTGAGCATTGTGGACATCGATTTGTGACTGGCGCATTAGATGGAACTGTCAGCACGTGGCAGCTTGAAGTTGGAGGAAGGAGTATTATTCACCCTACTGAATCTGCTGCCTGCTTTAATAATCATACTGCGTAAGTAGCCGTTGTGAATTACTTTGTAGGTAATGTTTACATGATACATCGTAACAGACTATCAACTCTAGAATTTCCTCAGACGTTCTGTTAGAGGTGAAAAATATGCTGAGCAGTACCAAGTTTTTCACAGCTTTTAGTTGGCTCTTGAGGTTTTAAAAATCTTGCACTTGCTTTGTTGTTGCCTTTTCTCAAATGTGCAACTTTATAGAGTTGGTCGTTGGCATTTTTAGCAAGATTTCGACATGCATTTTTTTAGCTGGTGAGAGACATTCAGTTTCAGTAGACTTAATCCTCAGCCTCTGGTATCGAGTTAGTTGAGAATCTGATCTATGCATTATTATGTGGAACCAAATATTATAGGCATTTTAATTTGGTGAGAACTAAGTTCCTATTAGCCTAATTACGAAAATCAATTTTATTTATTTTCAAATTAAATTTGTCACCTGAATATAATATATATTTCACTTGAGCCTACTCGTTGAACAAAGAGAAAGGGCATGCATATTTATAATTTTCAATATACATGAATTTTGTTTCCCTTTCACAACTTATTAGTTTAATTCTCAGGGATAAATTTTTCCGCACATCCTTTATGCAAGTCTGATTTCTTATATTCAAGCTACTTATTACTGATTATATAATGTCCTAATAGGGATGTCACTTATGTTACGGCAAGCGGATCTATTGTTGCTGCTGCTGGGCACAGCTCTAGTGGTGTTAATGTGGTCATATGGGATACACTTGCCCCTCCAGCTACATCTCGAGCTTCAATAATGTGTCATGAAGGTCTGCTCCTTTTAGTTGGTGATTGGAGATGGAATAATTTTATTTTTGTTTGGTGGGACAAGAATTATTTCATTGAAATTGCAATTAAATACCCGAAATCATTCAGAAAATATACTATCCATTTCATTTCAATTTTCTCTCCAATCCTATCAACAAAATTTTATCATCAAATCAATCAACATTTTCCAGAAAGAATACTATCTATCCATTTACTCTAACTATTAATCATTGCCAATCAATGAAATAATTCTTGTCCCACCAAAATGATTCAGAAAATATAGTAAGTTACTAAATATTTTTATAGTAACTATTAATCATTTCCTTCTTTTTTCACTTTTTTTTTTAAATTTCCTTTTGCTAATTTTTTTCTTTAACATCCGTGGTGAGATTTTTATTTTAGGTAATGTGTTATCAATAATTAATTTAAATCTATTGATTAATTTTTTCAAAAAGTTTCAATAGTTTATACCTAATATTTTTTATTTTTATTTTTGTGATGGGATATCAGTAATTTGAGCTGAAACTTTCCGGCAGTTTTTAATTAGTTATTTCGTTTCGACCTAATCATAGACTTTTATTTTATTTGAAAAATATAAATTAACTTATATGGTTATAGGTTAATCATTCCAATTATAATTATTTGTAAACTAGAAAGTAAAATATCAAATTTAAAATATTTTTTAAAGTGCCTAGATAAGAATATATCCTAAATATGAATTTTTTTTCTTATTTAGTTTCCATATCGTTGTCTTTTTTTTTTTTTTTTTCATTTGTCTTATTAAGTATTAACGTCATTTCAATTTTAAAAACTTATTAACATTTCTACTTGTAATTCATATTTTTATGTATATAATATTTAATTATCTTTCATCTTACTATCTTCTACTTTACCAATATTTTATTTATAATAAAAAATAATTATTTCTAAAGTCTTATAAGTTTATTAGTTAATATCGCATGTAAAATGAACTGAAATTTATTATTTATACTTATTTAAAAATAAAAAATTAATCTCAACTTATTTATACAATAAATATAAATGTATGCTAATAAAATATATTTAATATAAAATAATATAAAGTAGTATTTGGTATGCTTATTCATCGAGTTTAAAAAATTAAAAAATATAAAAATATGAGTAAACTATTATTTCAGTAATCAAGTTTATACGATATTATAAACCCATGGCTCATTTGTCAAACTAGTAAATTAAATATAAATAAACAATGAAAATGAGTCATTGGTGGAACTGACATGTAAAGTATAAGTTTGAAAAGAAAAATAAAAATATTTATAATATATATTGTGACAAATTATGATGATAAATCAACAGATCATCTGACGAGTTATTCATGTAAATTATTAACTTCAAAGGAAAAAATAAATTATTTATTATGTATATTATTATAATTACAATGATAAACCAACAAGTCATCCGTCGAACATCGATATAAATTGATAGCTTAGAGAAAAATTAAAATATTTATAATGTATATTGTTTTAAATTATAATGATATACTATTGTTTTATGAATTATTAGATTAAAAAGAAAAATGAAAAAAAAATATTAAATTATTTTGACGTAATTAAAAATTAGTTAACTTTATGACTTTTAAATAACAAACAGTACATTGTTTTTAACTAAGTGCCAATTTATAATATTTACCACAATTTTTTAAGTTTACCATCACTTATCTAGGAATCGAAATAATATATTGTAATAAAAAAGTTCAAGTTACGAAGAAAGAGATTTTTTTTTTTTTTTTGTAAGTATTATTTATTGTTAATGTTTGAACTGTTGATTTTCATGTTACTTAATTCTAAACATGAACTCCTAAATAACAACTATTTTATAACGGATGAAATAAAAATATAGATAATATATTTGAATTGGTTTGAATTGTTATATATCATAAAATTAAAAGAAAACATAAACATTAATATTAATATTCAAAATTATTTTTATACTAATCAATATTCGTTCATTGCTTTAATTTACACGATTAATCATTATAGCCCGGTATGAAAAGTACAAGTTATTTTTATATCTCATCAATTATAGTCATTACACTTTTTTCTTATATCCATTTACAATCTAAAAAATATTCCACTTTTCCTAAAAACTACCTTTTCCACTTTCCATCTCTATTGCTCGGATGAGACAATTTTTCAAAAACTTTCTATATCCAACTGCGCCATTAAGTTTCTTGGTGAACTTCATGTTTGTAAGTTTTTAGGATGCACATTCATTATCTTGTGCTAAAAATACCTCAGTTCCTAATTAGGACAACATACCTCAGTCGTCACTGATAAAACATTCATCAAGTCCTGTTACTAAATCATAATACCTGAAATCCCCAGTTGAGTATTTACTTTGTCTTATTTCTTATCATAGTTCCAATGGTTCCCGCTATTGGCTTCAGTGTGAGTTGAGTAAAGCATGGTTTCCCTGGTAGGAAAATTTACATGGTGATTGAAAAACTGCATTTGATTCATGAAAAAGCAGTACCAACTAGAAGTTTCAAAGTAATTGCTTAAATGAGTTATTTTCTTATGTGTAGCTAAGATCGATGGTTAGTTCTTTTACATTCCTATTGGCGTATTCTTCAATTATACTTTTCCTATCCATTTATGTTATTCTAGGCGGCGCACGGTCCCTTTCCGTTTTTGATAATGACATAGGAAGTGGTTCAATTTCTCCCCTAATTCTAACCGGAGGAAAAAGTGGTGATGTTGGACTTCATGACTTCCGTTACATAGCCACAGGAAGGACAAAAAAACACAAGCATGTTGAAACAGGGGACCACAGCATCAGTGCCTCGTCTTCAGTTGATATGCGAAGCAAAACTGGGGACCAAAATAGAAATGGGATGCTATGGTACATACCAAAGGCTCACTCAGGTAAATGTGTTTGATATAACACTTGAATACTGTTAAAAAAAACATGATTGGAAGTTTCACCTCACTAATTCTTAATTTTTGTTCTAAAGGGAGTGTCACCAAAATATCTACAATTCCAAATACGAGCTTTTTCCTTACGGGGAGCAAGGATGGAGACGTAAAACTTTGGGATGCAAAGAGGGCGAAGTTGGTATTTCACTGGCCAAGACTGCATGAAAGGCACACCTTTCTGCAACCCAGCTCTCGTGGTTTTGGCGGAGTTGTCCGGGTAATAATTCTAACGCAATCAATCACAATTGGGAAGAGTTCAATAATTGCACTTGTAGTTTTTTCTTTTTCTTTTTTTTTTTTTTTTTTTTTTTTTTTTTTNTATGCTGATGAAAACAACTCTCATCTGTCTCTCAGTAGAACCATTGAATTATGAATTTTTGAATGGAAGTAACACCTGTATATCAGTTGGAGTTTTAAGAGGTATTAAAGAGCATCTAATGTTTCCAGTGAACTAAATGAGTGTCATCTCTGGTTCTGCAGGCTGGAGTTACAGATATTCAGGTCGTTTCTAATGGTTTCCTCACATGTGGTGGTGATGGTTCGGTAAAATTTGTTGGATTTCGGGAGTGTCCACTGTTGACAACCGCTTAAGTTTGATTTTCTTGTTGAAGCAAAAAAGAGGCACTCATAGTTTTCGTATTATGCGCATTTGTTGTCTATCTGTTCTTCCATTTGCACTCGTAATCGACCTGTTCATTTACTTCCCAAGTAGCAGCTCTATTACATTTTGGGCCTTTGGGGCCATTTACTATCTATTAGGAGGTGATTCCCTATAACAATTGAAAGTGAGAATGTTTTGCTCTTCTTTCGATGCAATTTTTGATAAGAACTCAGAAGGAAAGTTTCATTCGGAGGCTATCCATTTCGATATGGAACTGCCTATTTTCCGATGTAAGTTTGGGTAGTTGGAGCTTGAAATGTATCATATATTGTTGTAATGATTAACAATTATTTTTTTTTTTTTGTTGCACAAAATTCATATTTGCTGTCTGGATTTGGACGACACGTAAAACCTGCTGGCCTGGGTAGGGATTGTGTTTGTATTCGGGCTATGAGAAATTGGGCAGTTTATATATTTAAAAATAAAAAAATAATAAGTGGACAAAAAACAAAAAAAAAAGGGGGGAGTGGACCAACATAGAAAGCACGTATTTTGTAAATACGTTTTCTGTGTAATTTAATTAAAAAACGTATTTACAAAGGAAACCGTATTCACAAAATACGTTTTTTACATTTTTTTTACAAAGGAAACCGTATTCACAAAATACGTTTTACAAATAAAAAAATCAAAAGCCGTATTCAGNCAACTACGAGATTTGATTTTCTCACAAGGGAATCTGTAACTCTCTCCAAATAATAAACATGCAATCAATTTGCCCGAAGCCTAAGCAAACAAAATGGAATTTAGAAAAAAAAAAACAAACTTTACCAAATATGATACCGAATTCAAAAATTCAAACGGGATTCATCGACCACTTGCGGTCGAAAAAAAAATCATCCATCTAGCTGACAAAAAAACCATCGATCGAGTTGGGAAAGATAAAATTTGGTGCTCGAGAAATATCTTATGATCAAAATCTCCTGAATGTAATTTCATGTCGTGTTTTTTATCCGGTGATCAACTACAATATTGTTGTGTGTGTGTGTTTTTTTTCATAATTTATTATGTGACATCGAGTGTTGCTTTATGTATTTTCAAGAATATATCTGACGTCATTGTGTTTATCCATCACAAGAGAGTATGGATCAACAATTAATACGTCAATCATCAAGTCGGAGGTATTTTGATTAGTGAATTATGCAACTATAACCAGCTTCGAGATATTGTTTTCAATAAACTGAAAAATAAATGCATATTCAAATGCCACACGCACGGAAACAAACACCAAATACATAGTTAAAAGTGTGGAAAAACAAACAATAACTAGAAACATGGTCTCAACGGAAACTCAATAGCTCAATGCTTTAAAGGCAATATTCTGGCAAACTCGAAACGTGATGAACAAATATTGAATAAAGGGCAAACGACATTCACAGCACAAAAACTAGATGACACAACAGAATCCTTTATATTTCATCATAAGTAATAATTAACAATACCATACTGCATGATGTCTAGACTAACCCAATCACAGCTACACAAGACACACAACCGCAGCAAAACTAAAACCGTTAATATCTCAAGAACTCAACTCAACAAATCAAAATCCAGTTACTGCCCTAATTGCTTCACATCAATTGGGGAANAAAAAAAAAAAAAAACAGTTCACAGCAAGGTAAATATATATTGATGAAAATTCAACAGGCAGTCTTCAAAAAACCAAATCTGGCTACTCACAGTTCCATCCAATGGTAAATCATGACAGCTTTTACCCCCACTCCACCTGAAAATCTATGGAAGGGTAGTCATCGGACCAACAATAGATAATTCACGAAGAATACTGAAACGACCAGACCCTGAATACCATGACCAGATACGTTCTGTTTCCATCATTCGAAATCATTTCTGGAGAACACAAAAAAGACAGTTACATTAGAGTGAAATAGAAATACAACGTACACAAAAGACCACATTGAAGATGGTTCAACAAATCAGGAGGGAAATACATATTATTGAATTATTATCAATTATGCACAAGAATTTTATGACAGGAGCCTAGGAGCAGTAAGGATTATTTATTTCTGAAACTGGCAATTGTAATTATATTCTTTCAGCTACTTTAGTTTGATGTGTTACTACAAGAGGAAACCATTGAAATTTAAAATACACCGTGTGATTATCATTGTAAAATTTAAAAATAAAAAATAAAAATAAAAACACCGTGTGACACAGTGTGAAATTTAAAAATAAAAATAAAAGTGACACCGTGTGATTATCATTGTAACAAAAGCCACGGCAAAACCGAAATATGTTTCAAATACAATGCTCCGATAACATAGTCATGGAAGGAGATCGGGATTGATCCTTTTCACAAGGTCGAAATTGATCATTTTCCACATTTAATGTTCGATTGACCATTGGGGTACAAAGGGGATTAGCCTTGTCCATATTGAATTGTTTCAGTATTCTTTTAGTGTAATTAGATTGATGGACAAATATCCCATTTTGGACTCGTTCTATTTGCAAGCCGAGACAATATTTGGTTTGTCCGAGATCTTTCATTTCAAATTCGCCTTTCAGTAAAGTGACTGCTTCTTGGATTTCATTTGTAGTCCCAATAATATTAAGATCATCGACATAGACATCAATTATCACAAGAATGTACAATTAAGTTGACAACACAAGTAGAAATATTCACTTGTGTATTTTTTTTTATTTTTTTATATATTTTCACTTATATTGTCAATTTAGTTGTAATTAGGTTGGTATGTATCATTTTCCAAATAATACTGCTACTATAAAAGATAAACGATAGCATATGATCCTCATTTACTACTCCCTCTAGGCCTCTACTCAAAAGGATTAGAGAAAAGATACCTCAAAAGACACGAGACACAAGATTGTTGCCGACTGCTCACACATTTCTCTTGTCACCCCCTTAAACTAACCATGGTTACTTTCACTGTTCCGAACCTCAACCACAAACTTCAAAATACACATGCAGCTATTTGGTTTGGCCACCAAAATTAAATTAAAATCTCTGCTAAAAAAAAATATGTAAAGAAAGGAAAACGAGGCACACATTCAGAAAACACCCACCTCTTTCTTCTTCGTCGTCTTTTTCTTTTTCTTCTTGCATTTTCTCTTTAAAAACCACGCGCGGGACAAAACCCTCTTCTTCTCGCCGCTGATCATGGAGTGCTCTCTTTATCCCAAGTGGAAGACGGATTAAGCTGCTGGTGAGTAATTTTGAATACGATTTATGTTCTCCACCCAGTACCAATTCTTCGAGTTTTCTGTTCCGCTTGCATTGCGGAAATGTTGATTTTGATTTGCTTTTGTTTCCTTCTGCTTTGTTCTTGCATGTATGTATAGATTTTTCTTGTTTGAGATCTGAGACTCGAAAGCTATGGCTCATTAAGAATCTGCAGGAAAACGATTGAATTTCTCTCAGGGAGCTGCGGTGGCGTGGTACCTCATCTATTTATGACAGGGTTTATGCGATTTGTAATTCCTCAATCGAGTGAGATTTCCTGGATTTCCCGCAATCACCATTAATAATTTTTCCATATCTGCTATTTTTGGGGGGTTTTTTCATAAATTTCAAAAAGAAAATCGAGATTCCGATATGGGGACGATTGGGTGGAGTAACGACGACAGAGCCATGGCGGCTACTGTTCTAGGCGCAAAAGCCTTCGATTACCTAATGTCGAGCTCGGTCTCAGCCGAGTGCTCCCTGATGGCCATGGGCAACGACGAGAATCTCCAGAACAAGCTCTCCGATCTGGTCGAGCACCCAAACCCCGCCAAATTCAGCTGGAACTACGCCATCTTCTGGCAGCTCTCCAAGTCCAAATCGGGCGACCTCGTCCTCGGTTGGGGAGATGGCTGCTGCCGTGAGCCATTGGAGGATGAGGAGTCTGAACACACCCGAGCCATGCTCGAGAACGAGGCCCAGCAGAGAATGAGAAAGAGGGTCCTGCAGAAACTACACACCCTCTTTGGCGGCTCAGATGAGGACAGCTATGCCTTCGGCCTGGATCGAGTTACCGACACTGAGATGTTCTTTCTCGCGTCAATGTATTTCTCCTTTCCCTGCGGAGAAGGCGGGCCCGGAGCCTGTTTTGGGTCCGGCCGCCACTTCTGGCTCACCGATTCCGATTATTGCGTCAGGTCTTTCCTCGCAAAATTGGCGGGCATGAAGACGATTGTGTTAGTCCCGACCAATGTAGGCGTAGTCGAGTTAGGGTCCGTCAGGCGCGTTCCGGAGAGCGTGGAGCTCTTGAATGCGATTGGCTCCACATTTTCGTCGTCCAATAAGAGTGATCCGAAAAACAAGGTAATAATAAGCACACAGAATATTCCCAATAAGGTTTTCGGGCAGGACTTGAATTTTTCGGGCAGCGGGGGGCATTTTCGGGAGAAGGGCTTGTTGTCGTGGGTTGCAGGAGCAAATGGGAACAGGCCGCCACCGTTTCTAAACGCTCGTAAAGGAGGTTTCCACTGTGCAACACAGCCGACTCCAATTCAGGTAAAAAATCCTCCCCCCAATATGGAAAAGGATTTCAGGATGCAAATCGACTTCAGCGCAAATGCTTCGAGGCTGGAGTCGGAGCACTCAGACGTGGAGGCCACCGGGCGCTCAGAGAACAAACGGCCCAGAAAGCGCGGCCGGAAGCCCGCCAACGGGCGGGAGGAGCCCCTAAACCATGTTGAAGCCGAGAGGCAGAGACGCGAGAAGCTGAACCAGAGGTTCTACGCGCTTCGGGCAGTTGTACCCAACATCTCGAAAATGGACAAGGCATCCCTGCTTGGGGATGCCATAGCCTACATAACCGAGCTCCAGAAGAAACTGAAGGATATGGAAGGCGAGAGGGATGAACACGTGGAGCCCAGTGACTCAACAAACAGTGTGTCTGAGAATGTGAGGATTGATATCGAGGAGGACTGTGATGAGGTGACTGTGAGGGTAAGTTGTGCATTGAGTGCCCACCCGGCCTCGAGGCTGATACAGGCAATAAAAGACGCGCAAGGGATGATTATCGAGGCAAGAATGGCGATTGGGAGTGAGAAAGTGTTCCACACTTTTGTGGTGAAGTCGTTGGGATCTGAGAGGCTGACTAAGGAGAAGCTGACTCAGGCATTGTCGTTTGGGTGCAACTCCTCGTCGTAAGGTGTCGTGTGATGTGTTTTTGAGGTGGTTTTTGGTATACACAATTAGGGAAAGGAAAGAAAGTTTTTTAATGTCTTGACCCCAACTAGATTAGCTAAAAAGTTTCTAGTTGTTTATATTATACAATGTTGTGTTGTGTTGTAAGGAGAAGGACGTGCTTTTTTGCCAGATTAATTAATTTTATTTAAGACTCGGTTTATTTGAAATTTTTGTTTCCTTTCCCATTTTGTTTGTAGGAAAGATTTTTGGTTTCTGGAAAAATCTGCATTCTGGTTTAGATCGTTTTCAGAGATTTGTTTTGGTTTTGGGCGTTTCTGAACTTAAATTGAGATGACCTCTGTAAATCAGGATAGTGGGGATGATGGAGTAGGAAATGATTCTGTGGCATGGCGCGTTGCGTGTTTAAATTTCATATGTTAACGATGATTTTTTGCGTTCTGGTTTTAGATCCTTTTCAGTGATTTGATTTGGTTTTGCGCATTTCTGAACTTAAATTGAGATGACCTCTTTAAATCAGGATAGTAGGGATGATGGAGTAGGAAATGACTCTGTGGCATGGCGCGTTGCGTGTTTATATTTCATATGTTATTTAATGATGATATTATGCCTGGAACTAATATTTTATATGTAATAGACTAATAGTTGGTGGTGGTACTTAAATGCTTGATAAAAAGAAATTAAATCCACTTTCTATTGTTTTGGTAGATTCAATGGAAGTGAGTGTAATGTAATTCATTTCATCCGTACACATGCACATGGTACGTAAATATTAAGGGTAAATATGAAAATTATTTATAAAACATTAATATTTATACTAACATAAATTGAATTAATAAAAACTAATATCTAAAAAAGTATTTATAATGATATATATCTTATTACATAAATTTAATCATTATATCAAATTAAAAAATATAAATTTCTTAAACAATAGCTAATGTTGAACAATAAAAATAACAATAATAATAATATCAGTTGTTATAATTATATATACAATATAATTATTTATTATCATGACACTTATTATTAAATACGTTCTTTTAATAATGTTGTGTCATGATACTAAATAATTATCATGAAACTTAATATTAAAAGAACGTCCATCCAATGAACTTGTTTGATACTTGACTATTAAAACGTTTCTTGCTTCACATTTTTGGTAGACTTGGCAAAGAGGATAAGATAAAATAAATAATAATAATAATAAAATGATTGATACGGAGACATATTTTGCTTTGACAAAATGAGTGTTTCCTTTCTTTTTCCATTGAAACGTTGGAAGTTGACTCTTAAAGTGCTGTTATAACTTATGTGAAAGTCGTATTGAAATAGAAAACCATCTTGAAAACGTGTAGAACATGGGGAATCCATAATTATTGGACTTCAAGACATTTCTCGAGTGTCGTGTCTCATCCAAATTCCAGCTTGTCACGCGGTGATTATCACTACAGTCGCACAGAATAAACATACCCCACGACATTATTGCGAATACTACTAGTACTATACAAAAGTATAAATAAATATAGAAAATGTAAAAAAATTAATTATGTACCAATTAGGTTCAATCTTTTGTAAATGGAAGTTTAAAAAAAAATTAAAATTATTTTTGATTGTAAGAGAAATTAATTTAAAAGTTCAAATATTGGAGAGTCTGAGTTTAAGTAACTCAAATATTATTAATTCTACGATATTCAATCATTAACAAATGTCCGGACAATCCAAACAAGCTAGAACTCTAAAAAGTTGGAACGAATAGGAAAAAATTGGACACAATTTCTAGTTCAAACGAGCGTGTACAAACTCCCAAAGTGCAGACGCGCATAGACCCTATTGCAAGTATAACTGTTAAAATCCATAAGTTGGGCGCCACCCGCGACCTAGATGCACATGCTCGTGCTGAAAAATTTTTAACTTAATTTTGGACGACTGAACATGACCCGAGAGGTGACATTTGATGCATGAACCCACTGGAGATGTCCAAGAACTAGACTTGTCAAAACGGGCCTGGGCCCGCGGGCTGGCCCGCCCCGCCCCGCCAAATAGGCGGGTTGGGTTGAAATTTTATAGGCCCGNGAAAAAATGTGGACTGGGCCTGGGCTAAAAAAAGAGGAAAAAATAAAGGGTTGGAAAAAGAGTACAATTGGGCTGGGCTGTGTGGGTGTGGCATGTGATATATATAATCTTTTAATTTTTTTCTTTTCTTTTTAATTTTAGCGGGTCAGCCCGCCTAGCCCGCGGCCCGTGGCGGGGGTGGGCCGGGCTGGCCATTTAGAGGCCCGCCGAGATGGCGGGCCGGCCCGCCCCGCCCCGCCAAATGGCGGGTTTTGGCGGGCTGCGGGCTGGCCCGCCCCGCCAGCCCGTTTTGACAAGTCTACCAAGAACATCTATGATACCCCTATAACTTAATATTCATCAACGCTGTAGAACTCGACAAAAATATAAGAAATTGATATAGAAAACAAGATATGGTTTATGTTCATTTTGTATTCATCATTCATTCTTCATATCTTGAGAGTTCTAAACACAAGTAAGTTCTTTGAAATCTTGTGTATTTGAAATACCACTATACACAAGATAAAAGTCGTTGTATCTTCAAAACGTTGCTTGAAAATCGTGAACATTATTCGGTGACAATTTCGTCTTACGGAATGGGCGTTTCACGTTTCTTGACTTTGTTTATTTATTTGAATTCTTTATTCGAATTTGTTCAAGTATCATGCTCGTTGTTTGATCGAGCGGTTAGTCGTCATTCTCTGTTCCTGTTCTTTGCCATTCTACAAAAGACAAGTACATACACACATTACCAACTTCATAAGACGAAATTTTGTGAATTTTTAGAAGATGGAGAGTAAAAGCACCCACGCTACTCTGAGACCAATCACTATCCTAAATAGCGAGAAGCCAGCAAAAATTTTCATTACCGACTTCAAGAGATGACAACAAAAGGTAATATTTTATCTTACCATCATTTATCTTTCTTGTTTCTTCAGACCATCCGGTTATTCCCAATGAAGACAACGATACGCGAAGATATACTGAGTTGGATGTTCGCATCATAATGGTTTCTTGTGTAGAAATCTCACACCTAACGTACTAGACGATACACTACATATTATGTATAGCCCGATTAAGACATCCAAGGAATTATGGAAGTCTTTGGAAATGAAGTACAAAATGGAAGACACTGTCATTAAGAAGGTTCATTTCATGACTCCCATGGCAAATGGCTCGGCGGCTCCTTGATGAACATTGTGGAATTTTCAATAATTGGTGCAGAGTTATGGGGTTTATTCCAGGGCCTTAACTCGGCATGGAGCTTGGGGTATCGTCGAGTAGAAGCTGAAGTCGACCACTCTAGCGTTGTGGGTTTCGCAAACAATTGTGAGAATATAGAAGTCCATTCGAGTTTGATCATAGGGATAAAAGAGCTTCTCAGTCAAAACTGGCACGTTAAGATATCTCACATCTTTCGTGAGGCGAATTTTGCTGCAGACTACTTAGCGTCTCACGTGACCTCGGATTCTCTATGTTTCCATCGGCTTCGGCCCCATCCACAAGTGTCGTTTCGTGGCTTGAGCACAACGTAAGAGGTGTCTCTTACTCACGGAACGTTTGCATTTAGCCTCTCGCGAGTTATCTCCTCTCATTCTACCAAAAAATAATATTAATAAGAAATCAATAACGATTGTATTACTTCGATTAAATAATTTTTACATTAGTATTCAACAGTTTTTATTAAATTAAATTAATCTTTATTCTCTATTTATGTGTTCAACTTTTGTATACAGTTTTCGGTAAGATTATAGAATACCACAATTTGAACATTAAACAAATCTCTCAATCTTCGTTGCATAGTGAACGGTGAACTTAAATCAAGGGTAGTACTATTTATCGCCCTCCTTTTACTAGTCACCGCCCACCTTGGACGATTTTGCCCTTTTCATTTTTTCCAAACATCTCAGAGCAAAGTGTACGGTGAAATGTCGTCAAATTCCGAGGTACGAAAATTTTTGTGTCTGGTCGACGAAACCGGACAGCTTTTAGCCCGTCCGACCGCCGGAACCGGACGGTTCGGACGGGCTAAAAGCTGTCCGAAAAGTCTGGCCGGTTGGACGGGCTCTGTCCGAAACGGCTGGCCGGACGCTTTAAAAGTTGTCCGGCCGTGACGGCTGGTCGGAACCGGTCCGTCCGGTTCGGCCGGCCGGACAAAATATATATTTTTTTTTGTTTTTTAAATTATTATGTTATATATTTGAAATAATTATGTTATAAATTGGACTTGATTATTATGTTATAAATTATTATGTTACATTTTAGACTTGATTATGCTACAAATTGGACGTTAGATATTATCGTGTTAGGAGTTACAAATTATTATGTTACATGTTAGACTTCATTATGCTATAAATTGGACGTTAGATAATATCATGTTATGAGTTACAAATTATTATGTTACATGTTAGAATTAATTATCTTATACATTAGAATGAATAGATTATAATTTAACATGTTCTAAAAATATAAATATTGTACTATATAGCAGGAGTCATGGGAAGATTTTGGAGGAGATGGTGTTGATTACAGTCTCAGTTTCGATACCCGTACATTATTTAATAGTGCTAATGACGCTATTGAAGCTGCAAAACACCAGGCAACGTTGAATGGTTTCATATTAGTAATTTTGAGCCACAAAAAGAAAACGGTCAGGCTTTTGAAGTGCCATAGAGGCGAACGCTACAGAAGCACAGGCGGAAATTCCAGAAAGACAAAAACGAATAAGTGCGGCTGCGATTTTGAGATCAAATTAAAAAAGGTGCTCGGCGAGCCATACTGGAGGATCTGTAGATGTAGCAATGAAGAGAAGGGCTACCATAACCATACATTTGCTGTGTATCCTGAGGGTCATCGCCAGTTGAGCGGCCTCAGCGCTTCATCTAAGAAAATTGTTCGTGATATGACGGACGCTCAGGTGGCCCCGACAAAAATATGGCCGCGCTGAA